CTTCGGTGATAGGACAGTTCTTGATGAGACCAGATCGGATCGCATACTTCAGACTTTTGGTGCTTGGAGCATTGAGTATGTGCATTGCACTTCTCGCTTCCATCGCAGCCTTGACTTGTCTTGGAGTAAATCCTTCCTTGTTCTTTTGAACGGTTGCCATCTTGAAGGTCATCTCCAGTCCAGCATATCCATTCTGTTTGTTTGAAGAAAGTTCGAAATGGGGTTGATTATTTGAGTTTCTTAACTGGCGACGGTACATTGCACTTGTCTCTTTGGCACCTGGTTCGACATTCGCTCCAAGTTGCTCCAGCACATACACACCCTTACGATTCACAAATCACATCTTTCTGTTTCCATCACAATGCACAATAAATGCATTGTCAGCATCAGTATCCATAGTAATGCGGTATCCCGCAGCAATCATCTTGCGCATCACAAGTACATTGGCAATTCCATCTTCATTGTGATAAACTGGAGGCGGAAATCCCGTAGCAATCGCTTGTCCCATGTTGTTGATGACGTGTAGGCTTGTGAACTCATAAACGTCACTAGTCACATCAAACAATTTGCTGGTGGTGGTGTTGAAGCGTGAGCAAATGTCTGGGCATACTGATGTGTAGCGCTCCATCAAGAAATCCACCCTGTGTTCCATTGTTGTCTTTGTCTGCTTGATGGAGTTCACAGACTGTTGTAGGATTGCTTGCTTGATTTCCGGAGACTCTGTGGTTGGAGCTAGGACGGCAGTATTGATGGTATAATGGTTGTAGGTGATGCTTTGTCCAGGTGGCTTTGGTTGACCCAATACAATGGCTTTGGTTGACCCAATACAATTTTTTGTTGATACGATCGTTTCTTTTCTTTTTTTCATATTTGTGATGCAACGTGGCAGTCATTGCGGCAAACGCTGCATTCTCCATATTGACAGGACTTGGTGATGTCATAGCAAAACATGGTGTGCTGGAAATGATCGGGGTTGAACTGTCCTCCCCATGTGTAGGCTGATTGTGTGAACAAACTTGGTTGCTCTGACTGCAAATTGAAAGCATTTGGGCTTCAAATCTTGGGCTGGCTTCCACTTAAGGTGCTATTGTTGTGCTCCTGACTCTCAGCGTAGAAAGAGCATACTAGTGCATTGATATAGCTACTGTTGGACATGATAGACGGTGACTGATATTGCTATTGGGGTGTATTTACAGGGGTCTGAAGCAGCTGTAAGTAGATGATGGATGATTTTACAAATGGTGGTGTTTGTGCAACCACTGTCCATGATGACATGATTGTACAACCCAAATGGATCTCTTTCCTTTCTGTGGCTTTGGATAAACTGCAGACCTCGATCTGCTTCAGTAGCAAGATCAGGCAAATCTTCATTTTCACTAGCATAGTGCCACTTGGCTTGAAGTTTGACATTTGTCATACCAGCAGGACATGGAATAAGATAGACGTCATTGCCATTCTCATCCTTTCCCTTGATAGCATTGTGGAAGACATTTGACATATCGTAATAGCCAGTCTTCACAACCTGCGGAGTTTGAGCTTGAGTTGCATTGAATCCTTGGCGCACTTGAGCACCACTGAATCCTTGATGGCCGAGTTGCATTCCACTGAACGCAATCTCACCGTTAGCATTCATTGAGTAAGGAACAGTAACAGTGCCGACACCTTGAGTTGGAATCTGCATGAGCTGCATTCCCAAAGGAACTTGCATCATTTGATCACCTTGAGTACGAGCAAATCGCAAAGATGTGTTAATGCTTCCCACAACACTTGATGCTCCACTTGTGGATGCTGAAGCACCAGGAACTATAGCTGGAACAGTAGCTGGAACAGTAGCTGGAACAGTTGCTCCAATCTGATTAAGATTGAGCTTTTTCCCATAGTCGACATATTGATCCTGATTCTTTCATTGGATCTTTGGTAGCAGTCTGTCTGGGCATTTTGGAGACATATGATCTACCCTGTTCCCATGAAGTGATTTGGTCTCATTTGTTTCTTTGGTCCCAAAAATGACCGCTGGCGCCTACCCTAGCTCCTTGGTAAACTTACTTGTATATGCCCATTGGTCCTCGCTGCATAATTTGTATGAGTAGTCTCCTCATATTTCCAAACTGTTTGACTGTTGAATGGGTTCTCAACCATCATCCTGGAAACTAGTCTCAAAAACGTCTTGGGCCGTCTTAGTTAGTGAGGCATGTCGATTCTAGCGCTCCACAGTCCCACTTGGAGAACTTTGATCCGCGATTGTGGCGCGCAAACGTATCTTGTAGTCGTATGAGTCGATTTTTGTGTCATAAACGAATTGACGAAAATAGTGATGTATCGCATAACTACCGACGCCAGAGGAGACAGCACATAAACTGAAC